TCTGCTTTCAACAAACTATACATTATGACATTTATTAAAATTATTTTCATTACAGTGAAATAAATCTGATTGCAGCTTCAAGATCTACTAAACTCATATTTAAAGATAAACTCTTGAACACATTCTAAAGCTAAAAACAAATTATTTCTGATATATCCCTGGCAGTTTTCTTCATTATTTTCACTGCAAGTTCCAAGACACAGAAGAAAAGTCAGATGACCTGCAGTGATAAGTTTAACCATTGGCCTGTGTAACCCATATGAAGGGATGGATAGTTTAACACACAATGGATTTATAAAGACAAAAAAGACAAAAGTGAAACATTCATTAATCAAAGAATAAATGATCTCTGAGGCATAAAAAGTCATTTAGTAAGACTGCCATTATTGCTGAAAGCTGACTCCCAGCATCAACAAGAAGGATCCTGGAAACTACACTATGTGGAAACTATGGAAGATCATGGCATCTGACCTGTCTCAGGTGGAGCAAAATGGAAAACAATATACAGTCTGAGGTTAAGATGCTGTCACATAATACAGGGGAGCTGAGATACTCTGGAAAAACTCATGTGATGAACTCAAAGATTTAGTGTATAGAAACAAAAGACAACAGAGTTACTGCAATTGAGAAGATGACTACTAACTACTGGCCTCAATTATGATCCTTCAATTCTTCAGGACTATTATAAACTGCCCCAGATCATTTCTCCTCTTTTTGATTCCCTATTTCTGAAATAAATATCAAAGTGCAGATGGCTAGACAGGCATAAATACATGAGGCAATACAGTGTTAGTGATAAAGAGCACAGACTTCGAAGCTATAACACTTAGTCTGAATCCTGCACCACTCAACTAGCATGATTATGAATGAGTTACTTGGCCTCTCTCTGCTGCAGTTTATATAGTAATTGTACCTAACTACCTTATAGGGTTGCTACAAGGATTAGTTTCAAAAAGTGCTTAGAATAGCATTTTGAACGGCATAAGTGTTTATAACAACACAAATGACAACAATGATACACTGTCAAAACTATTTTTAAAACTCTCTTTAAACCTGTACGTGAACCACTATTAACTCATATAATCCTCCAAACAATTAAAGAAAGTATTTTTATTCTAATTTTAAAATAGGTTCTAGAGAAGAACTAGAAACTTGCTGGACTAAGCAACCCAACAAGAAAGTAGTTCAGCACACAAATTATACAACAAACTGACTCTAAATCCACTAATTTGCTCTGCTCTGCAAAGTGTTTTTTTGTAAGAGATTAAAAAAAAAATTTATGCAGCAGATACTAGAAGTTAAATTCTGGGGAAAACATACACTATTACCCAAATATAAAAGAATGAAAAATCACTTAATACATAACATACATTATTTATGTAGTGTATAAAAATCACTTTATATTTTTATATATATAAAATCACTTAAAAATATTAGAAATAAAGTAAAAATCTGGTAAAGGAAAAACTATATTAATTATAATAGCAGCTGTCCTTATTAATTTTTCCATGTGCTAGGCACTAATCTAAACATTTAATATGCATGATCTCATTTAATCCTAGGATATAATTACTACTGTGATCTCGTTCTATGGATGAAGAAACAGGTTTTAGAGGTATTAAATAACTAACAGAAGTCATACAGCTGAAAAGAGGTGGAGCTGACATTCAATTCCAGGTCTATCTGATGCCAAAGCCTAATCCTTTATCCACTATTCATGCTGCTCATGTATTATTGAGCTCAGGTATTAAAACCCAAAATCTTCAATAGAATATGTGTAAGAATACTCAAGTTAAAAATAAAAATAATGTTCTTGATTAGTTCTCTAGTCTAACATACACAAGTAAGTGAAGTTCCCTGAAGTCACTTTTTAAAAAGTTTTTCTGGAACACCAAAGTGATTTCTAAAATACTATTTCAAAACACTGTGTGTATATGTGTATGTAAATCATGTTAGGGAGTTGAAATAGAGAAAATACTATTTTTCAAGGGATATTATTTCCCTACTCAGCCTACTTATAGTAGTATAAAGTAATCTAGTTAAGTTCAGATTATCCTGATTATTGCTTTTTACTGACAGGAACATGTCTAAACTCAGCAATACAATGGGTTAAGATGCAGTAGTTCAAAATGCACAAATGATATTTTGACACTGATGACAAGTTTTTCAAAATGTTCACAAATTATTTAAAATGAAAAAAATAGAAAGATTAATACTACCCATAATATTGAATTTAAGATTTCTAAATACATCAACTTCCTATCACAATGTCCATACCATTTTAAGATTACAATTTTTCTGCCAAAAGAGTTTTTGTAGGAAAGGGTTTTACTGACAAATAATCAAATTCCATCATTAAAAAATTTCTGTTCTTCACAAAAGATCTCCAAAACTCAGCACTAACACTTGAATTAACACTATATTTATTACAAAAAGAAGTGACAATAGATAGCATCAAGAAAAATCTAGATAATTCCCTAAAATCTATGATAAAGGAAACTGTTTTACAGGACACTTCCCAAAGTTTATTCTCAAGCATATTAACAAGTGTTACTTGAAGAAACACTTTTATAATGCCATTTAAAAAGAAAATAGGGCCTTCTTTTTATTTTAGAATACATGGAATAAATAAAATGTTATTTTATTTTCAAATACATGGATTTTTTTCTCCACAGTAATTACTGGGTTGGCCAAAAAGCATGTTTAGTTTTTTCCATAAATAGACATATTCTTCATTTTCACCAATAACTTTACTGATTTGGATATTTTGATTGTGTTGGCTATCTCCTGCTATTGGCTTCTAGTGGGTAGAGGCCAAGGGTGCTGCTAAACATCTTTCAATTAAAGACAGCCTCACAGCACAGAATTATTTGGCCAAAATGTCAATCAACAGCACCAAGAACCTTCGCAAACCACTTTTGACACGTTTGATCAGTCACAGAACCTTCTCCATACACTGCACAAATCTTTTTCTGCGTTTCAATTGTGTTTTTATCTTTCTTGAAATAATAAAGTATAATGGGCTAAAAATGTTGCATATTTTCTTCCATCTTCAATATTAAAATGGCTGTACAGAAATTCACCAATTTTAATAAGTTGTTTTTAAATGCACACTGATATGCCAGCTGTCACAATACAATCTAATAAAATTGTTTAGAATGAAGTTAAAGACAGCTAAGCACTACTAGAGCCATCATACAGAAAAACTAAAATAATTTTTTGGCCAATCCAATATAATGCATTCATATAAAAAATTTTGGAAATTTCAAGAGTTGAAAAAAGCTGAAAAATTACTACAATTCTATCATTCAGGAGCAATGACAATATATATTGTTCTAGCTTTTTTCTCTAGATGATTTTTGTTGTTTTGTTTTACAAAGCTGTGGTTGTATGACACGTATAACTTTGTGTGACTTGTTTCTTCACTAGGCATTATATGATCAGGTTCACAAGTTTATAAATTTTCCTGAGACATTTTATTTAATGATGCATATTATTTAAGAATATACTACAGCAGATTTACAAACCAGTTCTCTATTATTCCACCTTTGTGTACATCTACTAGAAGAAGTGTATCTATTTTGAAGTTTCCTCAGAACTATTTTTATATGCTAAACTATGTAGATTTTTTAAAAAATTATATTTATTGTTTTGCTTTGAGTTATTAATGTTTAGTTTGAGTTACTAATTAACAAAGGCTTCTCTTGTATTTGTTGGTTATATTTCTTCTTATGAGACTTTTACCTATTTATCTTTTGAAATGTTACTGTTTCCTAGCAATTTATATGACTCCTTTATAAAAAAATAGTAAGTCTTGGTCCTATTTCCTGCAAAATTTTTCCCAGTTTATTACTTGCCCTTTTAATATTGTTTTTTTTCCTGTTAATTCTGAGAAATTTAAATTTTCATATAATGAAATCTATGTTCCCTTTAATTTCTTACACACATAATAAACTCTGGCTGTCTTCTACTGTTTAGAAACATGATAGTCATTTATATTTTCATATCCTTTAATGACTTTTATTTTATATGTTTTTAAAAGATTTTATTTATTTATTTTTAGAGAGGGAGAGGGAGGGAGAAAGAGAGGGAGAGAAACATCAATGTGTGGTCACCTCCCGAGCACCCACTACTGGGGACCTGGCCCACAACCCAGGCACGTATGTGCCCTGGCTGGGAATCGAACTACGCACCCTTTCGTTCGCAGGCCAGTTCTCAATCCACTGAGCCACACCAGCCAGGGCTGATTTTTTTTTTTTAAACAAAAGATGTTAGGCTTTAAAATTATATGTTATTTTATTTCAAAAGTTCTTCTAATAAAATGTCCTTTCATTTCAAAAGTATGGTTAAAAATATAATAAAAAATAAACAATGCCAAATATATAGAACAACAAAGTTTAAAGATCAAAAGTCCACATTCGACCCTGGCCCAGTGGCTCAGTAAGTTGGACCGTCATCTCACACACCGAAAGGTTGCAGGTTTCGATCCTCAGTAAGGGTATGAGCAGGAGGCAGCTGATCGATGTTTTTCTTGGAAATCAATGTCTCTGCCTCTCTCCCCCTCTGTTCCTCTCTAAAATCAGTAAGAAGTAGCTTTGGGTGAGGATCAAAAAAAGTCCATGTTCCCTCAAATTATTTTCTATCCACATACAAAAAAATAGACAAGAAAATGCTGCTTCAGCTTACTAAGACGTTTCACCTTTCCCCCTCATGATAGCTTGGCCTCTCCTTGATGCGGATGGGAGATGGCTAGATCTGAAGCACATTAGTAGTAATCTGAATGTCCAAGAAGGGATATAGTACATTCATCCAAGACTCCCAAGTTTATCTAACAGAATTCTTCATTCACATAATGACAATTCAAAGACTTGATTTTGAAACTCTATTTTGGAAATGCTTGCTTGGCTTATTTTAATCACCTCAGACAACTCAGAACTGTAATGTTTTTGTACATACAAAGTATGTATATCAAATATTAAAAGAACAAAAGACAAACTTACTTGGGATACACTGGTTCATAAAGATACTTGTCCCCTCTTGTAGATGTAATATGAAAAAACAAGATGTAGCCATTTGCCGTCTGAAAGATAAATTTTATTTACTGTGAATTAAAGTGTAAGGCTATGACTATAACCTTAAATTTTAATTTTATATATTCTTACTTTGGAAACACTTCATTCCTTAGAACCCTCTTTTGAAAAGCTATAGCATAACTGTACAAATTTTAAAAATGACTTTGTTTTAAAATAACCCATCTTGTTTAATAACCCATGAAAAAAATTTTTATGAAAATATTTCATACACATCATTGGAATCAACAGTTCATATTATACTATAGACATTAATATTCTAAAATAACTGTATTATGGAATAATAGATGACAATTTTGCAAAATATATACAACTTCTGGAACTCTGCAATAATATGGCAAATATTTTTTCCACATTTTTAAAACAACAATGCCACTAAGTAGTAACGGTATGACGAAATTGTTAACCTTACTCAAAGTTGGTACAGTACAACTTAGGAATAACAGTTAAATATTTCAAAAATCACTTAACTGGTCTCTGACTTACTATATAATATACTCCATGACACAAAAGAAAAATAGAGAAAATCTTCAATTTCCAAAATTTGAACATTAGTTTATTTTTCTAAGTTAACAAAATGTTTTAAAAACATAACCTGTATTAAAACAATGATATTATATGATCATAGCACATATTTGTGACTTGTAGACTCAAACCATTTTATATTTATATAAATATAGAAAATACTTTACATAGCTGTTTCTAATCAAACATATTTGGGCATAACAGAGTGAAGTGGCAAATGCTTTCCCTAAACTACTTTATACTAATACTGTATTCTTTCATTTTAGAAGCAGGTGGGCTTTTGCTCAAAGTAGAACCAAACATAACTGAAAAAAACTATTCAAGGTTTCAAATTTCTTCCCAGTACTGACTTTGTTTTTTACTTAAAGGAATGCCAGAGAAAACATTTAATTTCTTTAGCCACTTTTTTTTTAAAGCTATAAACTTTACTATTTCATAATGTATTCTAAATCTAGTTCAACATATTGGGATACAAAAGAAAAAAAAGCTAAAATTATTTAAAATAAGATTACCATTCTATTATCATTCTAATTCCTCATGTGCAATTTTATATTCTTCTAATGTGGAAAATATGGAATCAAAAGGAAAAGGAATTCAATCAAACCATATTAACTTTTACAAACATTATGACACCTGTACAGATTAGCAACTGTTTTAAGATTTGTAAACTTCACCGTTATCTTATATAGGCTAGAAAAGTAAGATAATATGGTCTCGTGCTTACATGAATAACATACAAGTGTTGTCTGAAGTATCAGTCATTCAAGGTCAAAAGTTCAACATTTCAGAATATCAAATGCTAGTAGTATACTCAGAAATTTGGCAAGTACTTAGAAGACTATAATGCCAGGGAAAATATAGCTTCTTTTGCAGAATTCTGCTTACGCATATACTAGATGAAATTACAAATAATGGCTTGATTTACTATTCTGGTATTCTGTATCATCTCTACTACTTCCTGTGGCTTTGCATGTATATTAAATGGTATATAACTTCCAGATCTCAATGACATTTATCACTGTTCTAAGACAGGACTGTTTATGAAAATGTCAATCTTAAAAATTTTGGTAATAAACAATCATCCTTAAAAACTAGCATCTTTCTTTAACTACGTCAAATCTGTTATTGTGCAGTGCTATAATGGCCCTTCTCTTCCTACCTCAAAATACTGCAAATAAACATGTTATTGCTTAATGTGTAGGCAACAGTCCTAATACCTTCCTCTACTATCCACACATACCCCAAAACTAAAGTAATTTTTTAATTTAAATGAAAAAGTAAAATAAACTACCTCATAGTTCTCTTTCCTGTTATCAACCTATATCTTTAATTTCTCTTCTTTCTCCAAGGCACACTACTAGATGATATGGCTTTAAACATGGAGGCCCAAAAATTTCTGTAGGCAACTTATATGACAAGTATTCATGGCCTTTCCTTTGTATTTCCATGATTTAGGATCATAGATACATATGGACAAAAGCTTTAAAGGTGATAAAAAGAGGAAATCACTACCTAACTAGAGGGTGGAACAGACTTGTCTGTATTAGTGTCACTTATAAGAAAAAGAACTACAAACAATATTTTAAAACATCAAAAATTCAGTTTGAGAGGTATGAATATTAAAGTTCAACGTTACTTTTTTTCAATTGCAAATCTGGTAACGAAGATTTAAAAAAAACATACAAATTACCTCAGCTAATTCCACATTTTGAAAAAGAAGAGTTTGAAATGTGGAGGTGGTAGTGGTGGCTGATGATATTACTACTAATTGCCTGTTTGCATTTTACTTCATTTAGGCATTTGGGAAGTTTCCCCTTACTACTCCAAATTACATTATTTTATGATTGATGCACGACACATATACTATGAATAGTAATTTTCTGTAAACAGGAAAACTTTAAATCCTGTCATGAGGCAAATCAACTATTTAATATAACTAAAGCCTAACCTGTAAGCAGCAATCCCAATACCTCCCTCTACCATTCGTTATGCAGTGCTTTTATCTCCCATGAATTCACTAGATACTTCAGAATTCCCACTCTTAGTGCAGTTTTCCTTAGGATAGATCCTTTCTATTATGCTGAACAGAACAAATTTATGCATCTGGCTCCAATGATCTAAATAACATATCACAAAGATTTCTGTAATAATTTACAAGATAAGGACTTGATTTGGAGATGTCTCGTCTATCCCAAATACTGTCATGTCAAACTTCAAATAAGGCAGAAATAATGAACAAGCACTTTTAGATTCTTTCTACTGGTTTGTAAATGGTGTTCCCTGTTTTTAGTTTTATGTCTTTATTATACATGTTCAAATACATAAAATCAGTCACCCAATCATACCGTTAATATCTAACATTTTTATATCTCTCAGACTTTGTACATTCACATACATAAATACATTTAAATGGGAGATGATAAAACAGTTGTAAATCACATATACTCTCAAAAATAGGTGATGAATATTTTTTGACATGAACACTCATCAAAAATTATTCCTAATACTATTACATTATTTTATACCAGAGCACTAATTAAAAAAAGAAAATGGTTATCCCTTCTACAATGCATTCTTTTGCATCTCTTCAACAAACTATATTGAAACAACTGGACGTCAAGATGCAGAAAATGAAATTGGATCCATACCTTGCACCATATACAAAAATCAGCTCAAAATGAATCACAGGCGTAAATATAAAACCTAAAATAAAACTTCTAGGAAAAAACATAGGAAGAAAATAGGAACCATGAGAGAATAAACTGATGAACTGTACTTCATCAAAATTAAGTACTTCATTCAAAAATTAGAGTTAAGAGACCAATAGAGATAAAAGTCACACATATTAGGAGAAATTCTTTTGTAAAGCATATACGTAATAAAGGAATTACATCCAAAATATATTAGGGATTCCAGAAACCAAAAAATAACAAAGAAAACAATAAAATGGGCAAATGATTTGAACAGAGACTTTACCACAGAACATGAGCAAATAAACAAATGAAAGAAGTTAACAATGGCCATTAGAGAAATGCAAATTAAAACTATAATGAGATATCACTACACACTGATAGAATGGTTAAAATTCAAAAGAAATACCATACCATACCATAAATTGGCAAAGGAGAATTCTCATACACTGCTTGCAGAAATATAAAATGGTACAACTACTTTGAAAAAAAAATGGTATTTCCTTAAAAGTTAGATATGCACCTATCTTATGATCTAGTTGTTCCATTCTGGAATATTCACTCAAAAGAAAAGGAAATGTCCATACAGAGATTTGTACATCAATGTCCATTGGAGTTTTGGATTAGTCCAAAACTAGAAACAACTCAAATAACCATAAATAATTGAATGGATAAACCACTACTGGTCTAAGCATAAGATGGAATGCTACTCAAAATGAACTTCTGATTTCTGACAATATGCATGAAACAAAATAATTAAGCTGAGTGAAAGAAACAAGAAAAAATAAGAGTATATATTGCAGGGGTGTCCAACCTTTTGGCATCTCTGGAAAACACTGGAAGAAGAACAGTTATCTTGGGCCACACACTAAATACACAAATATTAACAAAAACAAAAACAAAAATCTCATAATGTTTTAAGTGAATTTACGGTTTTTGTGTTAGGACACATTCATAGCCACCCTGGACCACATATGGCCCATGGGCCACAGGTTGCACAGCCCTGATTATTGTGTGATTCCATTTATATAAAACTCTAGAAAATGCAACCCAATCTGTAGTGACAGCAAACCAGTGGTTGGTTTTGGAAAGAGATGGATCATAGCAGGAAAAATTACAAAAGGGTATGAGGAAACTCATGGGGATGATGGATGAGTTCACTATCTTGATTGTAGCAATGGTTTTAAAACTTATTAAATGGTACACTTCAAGTATGTGCAGTTTTTTGGTACATCAACTATACTTCAATAAAGCTATTTAGGAAAAAAAATGAAAGTGATGGTTAGATTTGTAGTGGAAACTACTGCTCCCTTGACAAGCTTCTACCACTATATAACAAAGTCTCATCTAGCCTACTGGAGAATAAGAGGTCACACACAAACCCAGAGTGGACAGTTCCAGCCAACTACCCAATAATGTGACTGAGGGCATCAGGGATCATCAAGCACCAGAGATGTCAAATGACTAGCCACTTCAGTGAGACCAGGAGAACTGCTTAGCCAAACCCAGAGGAAATCACAGGATGAGAGCAAACAAGTGGGTTTTTCCGAGTCCTTAACTACGATTTGAAGGTAATGGTTCAATAAATAATAAATGTGAAAAATAACAATCCTAACAAAAATAGTATAATTTAAGGAAAGTTTAAAGATGCCGAGTTATGGAGAAAAGAGCAAAGTCCAAAGAGATCCTGGAGAATCATACAATAATCACTTCTAAAACAGAGTTTTGTCACACCAAGATGTAAGAAAAACTAAAAAGAGATGAATGGGTACTGT